GGTGTCATCTGCAAACTGTCTGAGGGTGCCCTCAATCCCCTGACCCAGATCATCTATAAAGGTGTTGAACAGCACCAGCCCCAGCACTGAGCCCTGGGGAACACTGCCAGTGACCGGCCACCAACTGGATTTAGCTCCATTCACCACAACTCTCTGGGCCTGGCCCATGGCAGTATCCTGCCATGTAGTTTTCCTGGGGTCCTGAATTTCCCACCACTGTGATGTCTGCCCCCCATTTGTGGTGCATAAAGTGATGTTGAGTGACCAGTTATTCAGTATGTCATCTCAGTGGTAGCATTAATACTTTCACCATTCAGTGGTATAATATTTGATGTGCAAAATGCATCTGAGGCTCAGCAAGCCTTACCAACCTTACTTCTGAGCCTTATTAAATCCTTACCAGGATTTGGGGAAAGCAGCATTTGTAGAGACGGTACCTCCTGCACTGAGCTGCTGGTGGAAAGAGGTGGATGAAGAACCACCCTCGAATCCATGAGCTCAAACTCCTCTCCAAGGCAGCCCTTCTGTGCCAGGTCCAGAAGGTGCTGAGCAGGAGCTGTCATCCAGATGCTGGAGGTGCTCAACAGAGATGCTCCTCAGATGAGCTGGTAGCTCTGTGCAGCTCTGCTGCAAGGGGTCTAAGGTGCAAGAAGACAGATACAGATGTTAAGGCTGACCTCCTGGGCACATAGCTTGCCTCTTCCTCCTACAAGTTGGACTGAAGCTTGTCTTCCACAGCAACACCTCATCTGCATTTAAGGACGCCAAGTGATAATGGTTCCACCATCCTTACTGCTCTCCTTACTAATTACCTTTTCACCTAGGGTAATGAAGCTTTCAAAGTTGAATATTTCTATTATTTCAACCTTTCCCATGGGATCTTGTTATGACTTCCCCAGCAATACAGCTAGGCACTTCTGCCATCAGATATCTTTCTCATATGTGGGGGCCTGGAAACCCTCCTCATACCTGCCGTCCGCTCACCAGGCTGCATTTGTGAAGGAACCGTTCCTCTATTGCATGCACAGTTCATTGCACCTAATTCAAGGGGGGGAAGTTGTTTAAACTGAAAGCATGGAAATGCCCCGTTGGACCACTGGATGCAGGGTGAGGAGGACCAAGCAGTAGGACACCCACCAGCAGCTCACCCCATGGGTCCTGCATCACCTCCGTCCTGGGGACACCCCAGATTTGCCCTCCGGCGGTGCGGGGATGGAGAACACGCGGGCACATTCCCCTTAGACAATAAAAGACTGGCCAAAAGGCTCCGGCTCTGTCTGTCTTTGATGAAAAGGCAGCCAGAGAATTGCCCTCTCCCACGAGCCCCAGCGCTTCGCCTATGAGATGATGGAGACTGGCCTTTTCTTTGCAGCTGCATTGTTTTAGTGCTTGGAAAATAGCAGCAGGCTGAGCAATGAGTCATCTGTCACTAGATGGGGTTAAAGTAATTTCCGTTTTGTGTTGCCATGGGGAAATCAACGTCCTAAGAGTTGTCCTTTCTCCCACTCAAACACGTGGGAGTAGAAAGCCTGAAACCCAGCAGGGCTAAACTTTTTTTTTTTAAATGTTTTATATTTTTTTTTCTTTCCTCCTTATAAACAAACTTCCCTCTGTGGCCTTGCAGCTGTCAGTCTGTTCCCGGAATCGTCCAGTTAACAATGTCATTCCCCTTGGATTGCAAAAAATCCAGAAGCAGAGTTTAAGTAAATATTTGACATTCATATAGGAGTTGCTTCATGTTATCACTTATAAGAGCCTCTGTTGCTTGTAAAGTTTTACAGGTACATATGAGGGGGTTGTAAACTTGATATTACACAAATAAAATTGAAACTTCAAAAAAAAAAAAAAGTAAATTAAAGTAGCAGCTCACCCAGCATCCAGAGTACAGTGTATAACCGAAACAGGAAAGAGGAAATTGCAGTAAATACCATATAAAAGCCTGGCTAATGTATAGCTTATATGAGTAGCAGCATAGCAACATCTAGTGTTGATGAGGGATATAGCCCAAAGTTATCGTCATACTTTCTTCACGGCAGTTTGATGAAATTTGCCGGCAGGCTTTTCCTGGACCACCACACCGCTCCCCAGCCCCAACCCCAGCTCCTTCTCCCGTGTGTTTCATAACATGTCATTTTTTTCATGTTCCGTGTCACTGCCTTCGTTAGCTTTGCAGAAGTGCAGTTATCTGGTAACGCTCTCGGTCTGTCTAGATGGTTACGAAAATTATTGTGGTTATATTGAAGAGCCGGCTCAATAGATCTACAGGTTTAAACGCGATTCAGCGCAACGCTGGCCAAAACCTTTAGCATCTGAACGGAAATTAAGCAAGCAATTCCTACCTGACAGCTGATCACGTTACCAAGTGTATCGTAAAACCCAGGACCAATTAAACATTGCTGTCAAATTAGTAGAGTGCTCAAAAAGACTCCTTTCCCTAGAAATGAGCGTGCGAGTATAAGGTTGCAGTGCTAAGTGGTGTGTCAGAAAAGGCTGTGTGTTGCCTCTCCTGTATTACCCCGCGAATGCCAGGCTTACTGTATTAAGCACGGTTTAAGACCATCTATAGAAAAATTGATTGAGTTGCATTTTGAATCTATCACCGTATCGCCTGGAGACTCTTCTTTTCATTTAAAAGACGCCTGATGCTCAAAGTCAAGTTCCTTGCTACTTAGCTCCTTTGTAGGCATACATTATGGATTAACATTGGTTTAGGCTTGATTAGTTAAGTTGAACTAAACTAATCAAGTCTAACTTAACATTAGTCTAGATTTAATTATTTTTAATGGCTTCGTTAAAGTCTCATGGGTTTTTTCATATAAGCAAGCCCTTATATCAGAGCTCACTGAGGACTATTTAAATAAAAAGTTGTCTCCTTGGATTACAGCTCCTATTACATGAGGTTTGCTTCATCTTCAGTAAAATAACATCCTTTGGGTTTTCTCAAACAAAACAAAATTCATGAATGGCTGCTTTCCAAATCCAGCTCTGTCTTGCAACACCCTGTGAACAGATTTTTTGCCACGTTTAAGTTTATTACATGATCTAATTAGCATGACTGTGTAGGTACGTGGAATGCACTGGGGGAGAGGAAAAATACAAGTGTACCAAATGCTGTTATATAATTTGCTATGGGGCCGCGCTTATTAAAGACAGAGACCTGGATCATTGTCCGGATATTTTTCAGCAGGCTTT